AGTCAGTCACACACTTCGTTCTTATCAGTGTTTAAAAGAGGATGTGTTAAAACTCTGTTTAATCAAAGTTAAACACGAAACATCAAAGTTCATTGCAAGTGGCCCTTAGAGGGCCACCATAATGTTCATGTGGCCCTCGGTAAAAATGAGTTTGACACCCCTGCCCTAGAACATTTAATTCCCAGGCATTTTTTAAACCCAAAATAAASATAAAGATAAAAATGTTGCCTTGAAAGTGAATAATAATTAAATAAACCAGGTAAAGGCAGGTGCAGAAAACAGCAGCATCCAAAATACATCAGAAACTCACCCAAATGAGCAAATTCTGTGAGATTCTACATTTTGTACTGTATTCATTTAGTTAATTCTGTGATTCAAACTGCAATTTCTGCATTGCAGAAATCATAAGGCCCTCCATATCTCAGTCCTATTTTTACTTTTTTTTACACACCTGGGAAAATTTTCCACGTACCCCCTGTAATATGCTCGCGTACCCCTGGTTGGGAATCACTGCTTTAGACAGTGTCAAGGGCTGAAGAAACTTTCCAAGATCCTGGGAGTGCTGCAATGTTTCAGGACCGTGGACAGTGTGCAGGACTGAAGGAACTGTCCGAGGTCCTGAATGTGCTGGAATGTTTTAGGACAAAAATGGCTTCCTTTACTCCTCTCTCAAACCAACGTTCCTCTCAATCAAGAATGAGAACATCTTCATCCCTGAAAGAGTGATCCCTGGCCTGTAGATGAGTGTAAACTGCAGAGTCCTGGCCTGTAGATGAGTGTAAACTGCAGAATCCTGGCCTGTAGATGAGTGTAAACTGCAGAATCCTGGCCTGTAGATGAGTGTAAACTGCAGAATCCTGGCCTGATGGTGTTGCTGTGCTGGCCCATTCTTTTGAACAATGGCTGTTTTGTTTCAATGTATAATTGGTAAATCGTCAATGGACTGAACTTATAGAGCACTTTAACAAGTCCCTCCGGACCCCAGAGCGCTTTACACTTACAGACATTCACCCATTCACACAC